TTTTTTTTTTTTATTCGGGCTACTTAAGTTTATTTTGGGCTACCAAAAACTGAAGAGTCCCTGTCTGAAGGGCTACCAGGGATTTTGAAATTTTGCGAGCCCTGACAGTAACCATCCGTTCCCTGGTATATGGGGACTATCTCTGCACACTGTTACATATTCCGTATGTACGGGGTAACTCTGTAAGACACCCCGCGAGGAGACAGTGCAACCGAACCGCCGAGAATGAAGGTGCCAATGGACCATTGACAAAGTACACATAAGCAGACCACCCCGGTCAGGGCTTCGCCAGATAGGGGGTGGAGGCAGCAGTCTGCAGATGCCAGATTGGCCTGAACCGGTTGTGCAAGACGCAGGACCGTAAGTGATCGGCCGCTCAAGGTCAGCCCAGGACCGCGAGGCAGACTGCCAGGGAGCGCAGACACTGAGCTGCCAAGTAGGATCTTCCTCGTCGCATAGGCCTACGACATGCGGGCAATGCCAGACAGAGTCGGCGCTACAGGTGAAGCGGGCACCACGCCAGGGAAGCGCAGCCTACAGTGGCAGGTCAAGCTAGGGTCGAGACCTGTCCATCCACAGAGCCGAAGCCCCCCCGTGCTGTTGACAGACAGGGAGGGGGGCTGGTAGCCTAGCCTGCTGAAGTGGAGGGCTGAGCGAGGCGATGACCTGAAGGTCCACCCCCAGCACCGTCACCACGTGCTGACAGATGAGCCTCAAGAGTGAACTCGAACAAGACACTCGAGGTCAGTCATAAGGTCCCAGCTCACTGAGCGGGTCGTGCTGGCCGTGTAAGCCCGTGACACAAAGGCACCAGATAGGGAGCCAGCGTTGCAGGCTGCAGAGCTCGCACTCACAGGCCGTGTCAGACACAGCGAGGTCTGACCAGCATGTAAACCCGCGGCACGTGGTTAGCAGGCCAGAAAGCACAGGCAGTCAGCTACAATGAGCCTGTGTGCACGCTCTCCAGGCAAGCTGGAGTGTCTTAAAGAATTATCAACGGCCCACGACCAACGGGCTTCGTGCCCCGTACATATGGGATATATAACGTGTGGTCTCGATATGCTAGAGACCATTCAAGTCCCAGAAATAAACTTTTGTCAAGTTACGATGACTTGAACTCATGATGGTTACAGTATCCTATGAGCACGCTCAGTAACCAGCCTGCTTAGGGCTGTGCAGACCACATGGGGCGCTGCTGTCCACCACACAGCGGCGATTATTTCTACCGATTCCTGAGAGGAAACAACACAACATCAAACACACACGACACACCTGCCACGAGCTCGTTAGACAATCAGCTCGTCAGTTAACATCTTTCATTTTCTCCAACTACAAACTGACTTCTAAACCACTTTGTGTCTCTGCAACATGAAACTAACTTCAATGCCTCCCTCCAACTTCCTGTTAGAACACACACACACACACACACACACACACACACACACACACACACACACACACACAGAATCATCAGGTGCCCAGACTCACTTCCTAGTTTTTTTTCTTCCTGCCTCTGCACAAATCAAGGAAGTGAGAGTGGAGGAAGTGAAGATCAGCAGAATCACTGCACTTCCTGTCTCTCACACACACACACACACACACACTCCTTAATATAGAAGTGATTCTAACATGAACATGAAGGTTAAAGCCCAAGGGCTGAAACCACAAAGTGAGGTTGATGTCAGCGACCTGAGTCCGTTTACCTGCCGAATCACCATGGTGACTGATGCTGAGCATCGCCAGGTGAGGCTCAGAGTTTCCTCTGATTCTTTAATGCAGCATGTTTTCAGAGTGAGAGGTTCTCTGTGTGCAGCATGTTCCTGAAAGCAATGAATGAAGAAGCTCCAGCAGATCAGACTGAAAGTGCACGTGTTCACGATCGTGGCTCAAGAGTTGGGAGTTCGCCTTGTAATCG